CATTTGTTTACTAATGGAGTAACATCATGTTTCTATTAACATAATGCGCTTGGTCTGTGCTCCCAAGTCAGTGAATTTCTGAGTGACCATATTCCTGGTGAGTCTCACATGTCTCCAGTGGAGGAGAGCGGCACGGTGAAGGGAGAGAAGCAGTAGGGCTTATAGGCCAACTGGTTTAAGACCACAGAACTTGCTTGAAACAACCTCTTCGGATTCCTTATTTGTTACTGAGGACAACAAATGAGTCTTCTCCCCTTGGAATCTGATGGATTCTCTTCCACATTTGTTGTGAAATGAAAATGTACCAAAGCTTGCAGCTTGTAAGGACACTATGGCAAATAAAACGTCCAGGTATATAGTCGAGTGTCAGTTTCAGAATACACCAGCCTGGGTGGCCTAAATGGCAAACATTTATTTCTCACAGTTCTGGAGGCTGGAAGTCCAAGGTCAAGGCACCCGCAGGTCTGGTATCTGGTGAGAGCACTCTTCCCAGGTCACAGACAGCTGCTTCCTTGCTGTGTCCTCCCATGAAGGAGAGCAGAGAGAGGGCATCCCTCTCATGTCTGTTTTAGTAAGGGCACTAATCCCCTTCATGAGGACTCCATCGTCCCGACCTAATGACTTCTGAACGGCCCCACCTCCAAATACCATCACATTGAGGATTTAGGCTTCAATATCTGGATTTTGGGGGCATACAAACATTCAGTCCGTAGCAGTGTCCTAAAGCATTCTACACGTGACAATCCATAAATGTTCTCACTCAGGGAGAAAAAAGAAAAACTGTTCATTAACTCTTAGCTCATTGGCTTATATAAACAGTTTGGTACCGTGATAATAGGTCCTAGATAGGAATTAGGACACCCGGGCTCAAGACCTGCTCCTATCATTGGCTGGCTCCATAGTCTAGCCTAGGGCCAAGTCACTTACCTCTCTGAATCTTAGTTGTTTCATCTGTAAAATGAAGATGTTAAACCCAGTCACAAGATCAATGTGGAATGACATATGTCAAAGTATTGTGTAGAATAAAGAGTGCTATACAAATGCACAGAATTATACCTGTGTATGAATTGCATCACCCAGGGAGCCTGCCTGGGTAGATTTTCCTTGGAAGGCACAGATGGGGCTGGGAAGGAGTGGAGAGCCTCTGTAGTTGCTTCTGTTCTTCAAAAAGAGCGTCAGCTTTTGAGACCCCATCTGTTCTTAGCCAGAGAAGAAATTCTAAGCTAGGTGGTGAGATGCCCAGGAAATAGAACTCCACAAGAAAGAATAGGAAGGCCGATGAGAAGTTAGAACAACTAAGGCATGGGAGAGGGAAAATATATGCATAGTTAGCAGCAGTAAAGTTGACTACAGCGTGACCTTGGGTCCAACATTGATAAAAGAGAAACAAAACAGAAATAGGAGCACCTAAATATCCCCTGCCTTTAGCTATGACTGTTGCTGTCAGCAGATTTCTATTTTGGTCTCCTGTGTTACTGCGAACTCTTAGATTGAGACTTTCTTAGTTTTAAGGCTATTCAGACACGAGTGTGTTAGTGCCTTAAGTTTTTTCTTGTCTGTCGTCATAGTCATCTTAGTTGTGTTTTTTTTAACAACCAACTTTTATTTATATCTATTTCAAAAAATGTCTTGGCATTGTTTCTACTACTTACCTACCATGTTTTCATGCTACTTCCCTCGAAAGATTAGCTGGTGTTTGTAAAATATTTTTATAACTTAGTTTAATTCAATTTCACTTAAAATGTGCAATGCCCTGTGTTGGTCAAAAATAAAAGTAAGTAATACTAAACACCCTTTAAAAGTCTTGGTGATTTATAAGATGAGGTTTCAATTTTTTCTTACCATCACTACCTTATTGTAAAGAAATTTATAATATTTTCATTAGCATATATGTATCCTTAATAGAATTTATAAAATTGCTAGAGTTTGAGGGATATAGATCTTAATTTTTGAGGGGTGATAAATCCTTTTCACCATTTAAAGTATACTTTCTGATTATAAAAGTAACATTTTCAGAAAATCTAAGCAGATTGTTAGAACACTGTGATGTTCTTAAGATAAATTATCAGTAGAATTTCTGGACCTATGTATATTCTCACTTTTAACTTGATTCCAAAAGGCTGTCTAATTCAGTTCCCACTGGCACTCTTTAGAACACCTGTTTCCTTGTAACTCACTAAAAATCAGTATTTCTATTTTTTAATCAACTTTGAGTTATAGTTTACATAAAATCTACTAAGACTGCATAAAATCTTAGTAGAAAAGATTGAAAAACACTCCTTGTTTACTTGGAAGCTCCATTGTTAATATTTTTTCACTGTCTTTTTTCTATACATCATTTTACATATTTGAGCTCATACTATACATAAACTATCTTAATCCATCTTTTTCCTGTTAACATTGTTCTAATCATTTTCTGTCAACATTAAAAACCCTAAATTCCTATTTGATGGTTATATAAATCCATCATACACATTGCTACTATTTTCATATTTTCCTGAAATTGGATGCTTTGATTGGTTCTGGTAGTTGGAAATTTTTGCTAAGTTAATAGGTATCTAAGAATAATGTCTCTGTAAAAGTTCGTATTTCTTTAATTATTAATAATATTACATTTGAATATTTTTCAGATGTTAACCATTTTTTCTTTTTAATTAACTGTGTTCCAGTTTTATCCAAATGTTTTTAGTAGTTCTTACTAAATAATTCATATAATCTTTTATATTAAGGATATTAACTATTTGATAATACTTGCAAATACAGTTTGGCTTAACATTTTTTTCTGATTATAAAAGTAAAATTCAGTCCTTAAATTTTGAAAATAGAAATAAGTACATGGAAGAGAAAACTTATTCCATCAGCATTTCCAGCATTAACATGATAATTTTAATTGAATTAGTACTAGACAGTCTTGTTGGTACTCTGCTCAGTTCATGTAACAATACATAATAACAGAAAAAATTTATTAAATATTTACATTTAGAATTGCTCTATAGTAGTCCATTATATAGATATGCCATAATTAATTAATGTCTTAAGGACATTAAGTGTTCAGCTTTTCACTACTCTAAACACTGTGATGTTTTAAAATTATAAATGGAATTGCTGGACCTACATATTTTCTCACTTTTAGTTTGATGCAAATTACCCTTCTAAAAGGCAGTATCATTTAGTTGCCATTGACACGGTTTAGAACACCTGCTTCCTTGTATCTCACTAAAAATCAGTATTTCTATTTTTTAATCAACTTTGAGTTATAGTTTACACATACTGAATGTACCCATTTTAAGCATACTGATCAATGAGTTTTGACATATGCATGTACTCATGTAATCATCACCGCAATCAAGATGTAAAAGGTTTCCATCACCCCAAAAAGTTCCCTCTTGCACATGTTATTCAGTCATCAATCCCTTCCTCCCACCCTAGGCGCTAGGGAACCACAGATGCTTCCTGTCAGCACAGACTATATTCTATCACTATAGATGTTATATACATGTGAGTTTGATATAAATGGACTCACACAGTGTATGTATTCTTTGGGGTCTGCATTCTTTTGCTCAGCACTCCTTTGAGATCTATCCTTGTTGCTGCCTGAATCATGTTCCTTTTTACTGTAAAATGCCATTTTATAGATATGCCAAGACTTGTCTATCACCAGGTAAATGATGAAACATTTGGGTTGATTGCAGTCTGGGGCTATTGTGAGTACAGCTGCCATGTACTTGTCCAGATCTTTAAGCCATGACTCTCTAAAAAAGAGATACTTCATTTTCTGATGGGAAATTAGTGGACTCTAGGTATATCACCCACTGTTTCAAGTCAAGCAAATTTCCCAAAGGAAAGTCAAACTTTGTTTTGGGATCAAATTAGCAGGGTGAGGCAATGGTGCAGGATATAATTTTGAGAGCATCTTGGAACGCTATCTGGGAAGCACCTGATCGCCCTCCTCCTGTAGCAGCCACAAGCATAAGGTTCCTGTTGCTCACTGCCCTCCCCCCACAAGTCTTCTGGCTCCTGACAAGTCTAAGAACTCTGCCAAGTCAGTCCCTGTCCCCTCCCATGACAGGGGAGGGTCAGAGGAGAAAATAACGACAGGCATCATACTGTTTAATGCCAGATCCCCTAAATAGCTCCAGGAGGCAGTAACAGGGTCAGGCTACCCCACAGGCCACTTGAGCCCCTGCCCAGTGGCCTCTAGGGTATTCTGTGCCCTCTTCTCAGCTGCATGAGAATTTCATGCTTACGGCTCAGGAGAATTCTGTGCAGTGATTTGCAGGGCCTACCTTCTGGGAGTAGAATGCAAACTTCTTGAGAGCAAGAATCATGCCTTAGACAAACTTTTAAATGTGCGAGGAGCACAGTAGATACTCCAATAGGGTTTTGGATGATGTATAATCGAAGCCTGAGTTGCTAGTATGGATTTCTGACTTAGAAACACTCAATAGTGTTTGAAAGTTAAAGTAAGGTCTTTAACAATCAGATGCTTCTGATAAAATATTTTTCCCCGGAATTCAAAATACTAAAGGAAGGGCAACTGTATCTTATGTTTAGTTATGTTGTACATATGTTGTTTTGTACAGCTGTCTTTTGAAATAGAAGCCAGAAGACAATCATTAAACACCATTTCCTCTCTTCTCTTCCCATTCCTCCTTCTGTGGCATGCTCTGAAATTCTGAGATTCTAAGAGTGTTTTCCAGAAATTAAATTTAGAAAACAGTTAAATTGGAGGACGTATTTTTATTAAAGGCTATGATAGCAAAGGCCACTAATACAATGGGAATAACATTTTATAGAAGAAAAGTGGTTTACAGACAGCTCTTCAAGACAGTATCTCTCGTAATAAAGGAAGATGATTCATTAAGGTAAAGGCCTAGGCTTTGCAGACCCAAAGAGACTGATTGCTCTGGATTATGTAAGACCTCCTTCACCAACGGTACCTCTCGTCTATTACTCATGGCAGAATGAGGTTTTCATGGGGCGTGTTTCTCTTCCCTCAGTTCACTGACATTGGGACCTTCGAGACGGTGTGGCAAGTCAAGTTCTACAATTACCACAAGCGAGACCACTGCCAGTGGGGAAGCCCCTTCTCCGTCATTGAGTACGAGTGCAAGCCCAACGAGACGCGCAGTCTCATGTGGGTGAACAAGGAGTCCTTCCTCTGAAATGGCTCTTTCTGATGTTGCTGGACAATCTCTTCAGAAATCTACTCTTAGATAACCCAGCACAAGCCTTCCCCAAGGCACACCACACCGTTGCTGTTTCCCATTGGGTGCCAATGACCTGCTAGCCCTGATTATTTGGAAAGTGTAATTCTCCTCTGATGCAATATCCCTGACATAAAAGATCGTGATGTACCACCCCCGAAAGACCCCTTTCTGTACTCTGTGTCCGTGTTCCTGCATCCAGGTGTTCTCAGTCATGCTATTGACTGCTTGTGAGTGGAGCTCAGTGGAATTGGCAGGCATGTCCCATACTTACTGGTTCCAGAGAATGACTGTGGTGTTTTGTTTCCAAGTTAAGTGATTCCTCCTTTTTGGTAAATTGTTAAATAAAAAATAACAATGTGTAGGTTCTTTCCTAAGTGTAATATGGTAACACGTAACTTGCAATGTTTTCCAGCTCCCAAAGCAGGCTTTGTGAAAATGTAATACAAACAGCAGTAAAAGGGGACTCGAATGTTGTGCCCCCATAATCAACTTCTTCAAGGAAGGATAAGAACAAACTAAAAGGACAAATATTTAGGAAGTATTTATAATGTATTAAAACTCTTTCAAGCAACTTAAGGTATTGTGGTGTGGCCTAGTGGAAATGGGAAAAAGCATTTTTGTGGCCCACTGTTAAACAAGGTGACAGGAGTTAGAGGGTAACCTCTTTGCAAGCTACCCTCACGTTCAAACGTGCATATTGATGGCATTCCTGCATTCCCCTTCACTTGAACTTTGTAAAACTGTGTATGGAACAGTAATCAACTTTTGATATTTCTTAATAAAGGTCTTGAAAATCATACCCTGAATTGCCTTCTTAATTTGAGCTATCCAGCCGATAGACCTCTGCTCCAAGCCAGGTTCACTCAGGTCTCCATCTACGTTGCAGGGTGAGGGAGATATATGTGGAGTGAGTTAGCACACTTACTCATAGATCAACTCTGACAGTTTAACGGGAGTGCTCCAGCCAGCTCTAACAGGTACTTAGCGGACAAGTAAAAAATGCTTGTTCCTGTCCTCTCTCCATTCTTCCTTCTGTGGTGACCACTCCCCTGTCCGCCAGCTATGTGGCTGAGCAGCTTGAGGACGTGGTGCTGTAAGTGCGTGTACACCTGAGTGGAGACCTCCTTGCCTGCTCCCAGGGTATGGCAAGGCACCTGGCACAAAGCCTGTACACCATGCAGTTTGAGGATGAACTCCCCAAGAAGGAAAGAAACTTCCTCTTGAAAAGTAACATACTGCTTTGCAACAATATTGTAATGTTCACTTGGGAAGCACAAGTTGGAAAAAATGAGTTGAGGATCTTTAAATCCTGTAAACTTTTCAGGTAAGAACATGCAAGGTTGATGGGAGGGTTGTAAAGAAGCCATTTATTGTAGAACTGAATTTGGAAGGCTGGCACCAAAATCTTTGCCCCTCTGAGTCGCTTACCTGCAATGAGGCTGCACTGCCAGCAGAGCACAGCAATGCCTTGCATTTAGCCTAATCAGGAGTGGCGTCAAAAGAGAGCGGTAGGTCTCAGTTTGCTTGTTTTTCCGAGCTAATAAGGTCTATGACAACTGTGGTTAAATATAAGCATTAACTCATTCCTAATTACTGTGTTTTTTAAAACTGGCACTCAATTATTTAAACAGACATTGGGATATTTAAACCAATGGACTCACTGCAGACAGAAGCTGAAGTTTTCTTCCAGAGTATCTGATAGAAAGGCAGAGGGATTAGTAGGTGGGAGAAATGTGAAAACTACGTATTTTAATCTATTGAAACATTTGATGAGTAAATATTTTCAATTTTGAAAAAGGAGGTTTCAAGCTAGTGACTCATCTCTCAGAGCTTTAGGATTTGTTTTGGGGGGTGGAAACAATGTCCCGACTTTTGTAATTTTCCTTTTTAGCTTTTTTTTTTTTTGGAGTTTGGAATGACTCAAGGCAGGGCTAGGGGAAATGTGGCCTAGTGTGCCTGCACACACCTTCCCACAGAAGAGCGGGAAGATGAGCCCCAGATCAGAAGCTGGAGCATCTGAGTCCCACAGACATGCTGGTTGAGCCTAAGCGGTCACTGCCTTTCTAGGGCTCAGTTTCCTGGTGTCTGAAACAAGGAGTTAGGCTGGTAGAATTCTAAAGCCCCTTATTTATGGTTGGTACCTCTACTTTATACTCTTTTTTTAAAAAAAAGTATATGTGTGTGTGTTTTCCTTGGGGCTCAGAGGTAAGCTTGAACCAAGGGAGATGGGGAGGAGATGAAGATGAAGTAAACAGGAAATCTTAACAGCTAATCTGCCACGTTAAGTGATCTCTCCTGGCGTGTACTGTTCTACTTAGGATTGGACTCGAGCCCAGTCTCTTTGGCCACTTCTTGCATAGCTCTCCTCCTACTCCAAAATTTGAGTGCTCAGCTATATCAAGCTGCTGAGTTATAACTTTGCCCCTCAGCCATCTGGAAGGGCTATTTTTACACAAGTTGTAGCCACGTCTCTCTACTTCTAAGCATCAGATGGCTACCCAGAAGCTTGAGGAACTAGGCCGTTCTTCTAACCATGAGAATGACTAAAACACTTTTTGAGCAGGTGGAAGAATAAAAGGCCTTGAATTTATATTTTGTGACACCTCGTGCATTGAGAAGTCACTTATCTAGCCATCTGAACTATCGGATCACAGATGAGAACAGAAAACAGGCCCAAAACTAAGGATCCCCGTCACAAATGTCATGAAGGCCGTTCTCAGAAAGCTTGGGTCTTCCCGCAAGACCTCAGCACTCCCATTTTAGAGACAGTTCTAACTTATGGGGTGATCTGGTTTCCAGCTCTTAGGAAATTGGAAACAGAATAATTAGAAGAAAGAAGACAATTTGTAGAGGTAGATATACTGAAAATAAATTTTTTCACAGAAAGAGGACAAAGAAAAAACATAAAAAGCAGATAAAGTAAGTCAAAAAGTATAATAGATAGGGACATCCCTCTACTATAGGGACACAATCCTGCACTAAACCACAGTAGTTTCTGTGGATATCAAGTAACAGTTGATATATGTAATAATGACCGTTGTTGATTTAGCAAGATGATCCATCATCTTCAGAAGGGTATCATCATAACTCAGATTCTAGAGCCGAGATGCTTCGGTTCAAATCCTGGCTCAGCCACTTATTAACTGTGTGACCTTAGGCAAGTCACTTAATATCTCTGTGCTTCAAATTTTCTCATTTGGAAATGGAGATAATAATAGTATTTACCTTATGGAATGGTTGTGAGGATTAAATAAGTTAATGTATGTAAAACCTTTAGAACTCTGGGACATAACCTTATTATTTAGTACATTTTGTTTAAAAAGACAGAAAGGACAAAATACATTGTCAAATAAAACTATTAATAAATGCCAAGAGAAAAACTGAAGGTGTTTAATGAATTGAATTTGAAATAATGGTCGAAGTTTGTGCTCTATTTTTATACAAAAAAAAAAAAAAACGCTTGTAGAGACAACTATGTTTTGTTGTGTTTTTTTTTTTTGAGGAAGATTAGCCCTGAGCTAATGTTTACTGCCAATCCTCCTCTTTTTGCTGAGGAAGAGTGGCCCTGAGCTAACATCTGTGCCCATCTTCCTCTATTTTATATGTGGGATGCCTGCAGCAGCATGACTTGGTAAGCAGTGTGCAGGTCTGTGCCTGTGATCCAAACTAGCAAACCCTGGGCCACCAAAGTGGAGCATACAGACTTAACCGCTATGCCACCAGGCCGACCCTGAGACAAAATTTTTAATTATTTAAAAATAAATAGTTTGAAGTAGTTTTTCTTGCTTGCTTAAGGAAGAACACCCTGAGCTAACATCTGTGCCAATCTTCCTCTACCTTTTTGTATGTGGGTCGCCACCACAGCATAGCTGCTGCCGAGTGGTGTAGGTCCATGCCTGGGAACCAGACCTGGGCTGCTGAAGCGGAGTGTGCTGATCTTAATCACTAGGCCATGGGACTGGTCCCCTGAAGCTGTATATTTTAAGGTATGCTAGGAAAAGACCTTCTCCACAAACAGCTCACATAATGTCTGTTTTATGAAGACCCAGTTTTGAATAATATGCAAACATCAGGACAGAATCAGAGAACTTAAAATCTGGTAAGGGTCAAGAATGATGTCAAAAGGTCTATTTGTTACTTCTTTTAATCGTCCTAACAGCTCTGTGAGGTAGGCAGCACATGTCATACCTCTGTTTTACAGAGGGCAAATAAGTTTCAGATGTTGAAAAGTAAGGCTCAAGTTTAAACAGCTAATTTTATAAGAAATGACCTTATTTGATTCTCAGTTTTCTCACTTATGAAATGGTGACAATAATATCCACTTCTCAAAGTGTGTTAGGATTAAGTACTATATCACGTGCAAAGTCCTTTCCACCTCTTCTCCCATTACCTTCCTCCTGACATATTTCATTTGAAACGATCTCCTGATGTGCCCAGCCTCCAGCGGTGTTTGTTTTTTTAACCTGCTGATTTTGCCTTCATTTATTTGCAGTCTAGTAGATCAATTGGTCTTTCCAAAGAAAATTAATATGGATATATTAAATATATATATGACAATTATTGCCAGTAAATAGAGGTATTCAATTTCTAGGAACTCAGTATTCAGCGTAGAAACCTATACTACTTTACACAGCAAATTACTTAAGATGACCTTTTCTCTTTGGAGTTGTACTAACTATAGCACTAGATAAGATTAATTAAAATTTTTCCTTAACAAGTATGGTATTCCATTCCCCATTTGCCAACTAATGAAAATTATGACAATGTTTTTAGTTCTACTCTAGCGCTTTCACAGTAATCCTGACTGGCTCTCCCGACCGGCTGCAGTGAATTTCTGGTTCTCCTTCAGAGGTACTAAGCCAGGACAGTCTTCTTGCCCCTGCACAGCCTGTTCCCTCTGCTTGGAATGCCCTGCTCCCTTTTCTACCTAGCAAATGCCTTCAAGTGCCAGCTTAAATGTCACCTCAGCTATGAAGTCTTTCCTGACTCCTCTAAAATCTTGAGTCAAGAATAATTTTGAAGTACTGTTTATTCAAATATTTTATTTTGTTACCCCATTTCTGAAAAGCGTCATCAGCCTCCATCTAACTTCTGCTTTTCTTAAGTTCTCTGGAAGGCTTCCATGTATTCTTACTGACTCAGTGAAAATGAGCTGACTCAATAAAAAGGTGATGAGATTCTAGAAAGAGCTGGCTGACTGGCTGGCTGGCTGACTGGCTGGCTGAAAAACCAGCCAGCAAGAAGTTTGGACTATATTAGCCTTTAGTGGGTTAGCTTTGCTCCCTTTAAAGGAGACTAAAAGAAGGAAAGTGGATGAGAAAGAAAGAGCTTCTGAATTCTCTTACTGACATTGCTTTAAGTGAATACGCCTTTTCATGTTCATGTTATTAGTGATGATGGCACTAAGGTGTGTGGTCCTTTAAGAAGTTTATTTATGTCGGGTAATCATTTATGCTGCTCACCAAATGTTTCCAGCCCTCCCCTGTCTAGGCACATGATAGGATTGTGTTTCCATGGCCTGGGGTAGGCCATGTGAGAGTGACTCAGGCCAATGAGCTGTGAGCAGAAGTGACGTATATCACTTCCAGGCTGAAATAGCCAACTGTCTGTGCAACAGTAGCAGAGCTCTCTCTCCCTTTACCATGGCAACCAGCTACTTCCAAAGATGATCCATCATCCTGGGTCCTGGAGTGAGAAGATATGGCGCCAACCTAGCCAACCTTTGTTGACCTGTAGCATAAGTGAGAAATCAACTTTTCTCCCCCACATTTTATTGTGAAAATGTTGAAATATACAGAA